AAAGTAAAGAAGACACCTCCCCATTACCAAACCAATATTGAATATCCATCATGCCTTTATTGTAATATACATCAAATTTTACCCCACCTCACTCCTTCACAACATTTATTTTCAACAAATATACAAAATTATTTTTCTTTAAAGTCATATTTTTCTCGCAAAGAAGGACTGCGTAGAGAGTAGAGATGGATATCGTTTGTGTGAACAAACAAAACTTTTGTTTACAAACGAAATTTTTCGTGAACGAATGACGAACGAATGACTTGGATCGTTAGGAGAAAGAAAAAATGACCGTTTTTTAAAACTAGGAAAAAGCCCAAACGAACGACCTAAAATCGTTCAAAAGATCTTGATCGTTCATGAACTCGATTTCTAAATCGTTCGTTCGATGAACTTAAAAAAACTACCACTTTTTTACCGAACGAACATATTTTAAACGAACGATTTAAAAACTTTTACTTTTTACTGAACGAACGGTTTTTTCGAACAAACTTTTAAAAATAGATTTTACTAAACAAAAGGTTTTTTCACACAAAATTTTTAAAAACAACCGTGTATTACTAAAAGATCGATTTTATTAAACGATCGATTTTACTGAACGATCGTTCGATGAGAAAATGAACGAAAAAGACGGAAAATGATTTCTTACGATTAAAAAGCAAACGAAATTGATCGTTTTAAACGATGAAATAACGATATGATAAAATAGGGGGTATTTTTAATTTTTAAAAGAAATGTAATTTTTTAACCAGAAAGTTCAAGTTCAAGAAATAAAAGGCTATAAATAATCTTCTATTTATTACTTTTTAGCCAATTTTTAGCCAAAAAATGAAAAGTTAAAAACCATAGGTGCATATTGGGTTGTTTATACAAATTAACACATGCGAAACAAGTTTTTGGTGGCATAAACATTTAATTAATTATTCTTGTGTTTGATTTGTTTTGAATATAAAGCAGAAACCTCTGGAATAGGAAGATCTTTAGAATCGGGGCTTTAAATAGTCCATGAGACACAATTCAGCTGTGCAGTTTGCAACGAGCCAATGCACTCAATTAATCAGTTAAAACGTGTCCAGTGAAACTATTTGTAATATTATTAAGAACACTATAGTATTGGTATAATTATAATATATAATATATAATAATATTTGTAATATTATTAAGAACACTTAAGTATTGAAATCTTAGTTCCTAACTGACCAAAACCTTAATTCTTGTTTGTTGTCTAAACGATCTATAATTTTCTCCAACCATTGTCCCCTAATCATCCCCCTTAATTCAACTAGGGAGACAGAAACTTTTAACCGCTCAAAATAACAAAACTGGGTTTCGAAAAATTCATTATATTTTTTAAGTTTTTGATTATATTATTATAATCAAAATAATATATTTATTATAACTAAGTAACTAATATCAGATCTGATCTTCGGTCAAAAATCTAAAACCTAGTTTCTAAAAATTAAAACCAAAAAGTTTCTAGCTCTAATAAGGGTAAGGCCGGATATTTAAAGAACAATGGCTGTCGTGAACAACGTGCAATTCGTAGTTTTAAAAATCAAGAAAAATATAAATAACAATATCCTCATAAACTGAAAACTTAAAAACAAATGTTAAACAAAATCACAGCTATGGCACTGCACTCTACCGAATTAATTTATCGATGTCACATGTTGTCTTTTTCACTGCTAATTTTTTTTTCATATCTAAATTCTAAACTGTTTGATTAAACCTCAAGTTTTGTTTACAGCGCTAAAAATCTCTTTTGATTTTATAAAAGAAATTAATTGTAGAACTTCCCCCTTCCCATCTCTCTTCCAATATTGACAAAGAAACTTGAGGGAAAAACGAACTCGCCTATCTTGATATGTTTGTGTGAGTATGTAAGATGGACGCGCAAAGGAAACGCGCGGAAGAGATTTGAACGCACGGAAGCAACTGACCAAGAGAATTCTAAATGTCCTTGTGAAGAAGCGCAGCATAACAAGGCGCGGCATGGGTGCGCCAGGGTTGGTTTTATCCTTCCTCTCCGCTCTCTCCACACTCATCCTTCATCCATCATCCATATACTCATCCTTTATCCATAATCCTTCATCCATATACTCATCCTTAATCCATAAACTCATCCTTCATCCATATATTCATCCTATTCCTTCATCCTTCAACCATATACTCATTCTTCATCCATATATTCACCCTTCATCCTTCATCCATATAGTCATCCCTCATCCTTCATCATTCATCCTTCATCCTTCATCCTTCATCCATATATTCATCCTTCATCCATATCTATTTGACTACTGTTTCCTCGTGTCCAAATGACAAATCATAAATATCTCAGCAAACTAATGATAAATCTTAAAGATGCATTTACTGATAATTGTTTAATTTATTATACTGTACTATTATGGAAAGGTTTCACTTAACACGATCAATTCTTGAAAAGTATAGAATGACATGTCGTCTTCTTGAGATAAATAACATTCATTCATGAACCAACGGTGGGGGGGGGGGTACCTTGCAGTAACTTTCTATAGTTTACTCTTTATTTTGACTGTTTCTTTCCAAAATGCCCCAACTGCTTGTATTTAGTCAACTGAACAAAAACAAAGTAAAGAAGACACATGTCACCTGTCCGCCTAGGAGGCATATATTAACAAACAAGTGTTGAAATCAGCTAAGCCAATTCTAAGTTTCTATATAAGGAGATGCAATTAATCTTGTCTTTACAATCTCCACCAAGATGACTTAATTATAAGCATAGCACAGTACAGAGATAGGGGGAGGGCTCCTCAATTACTCCCTCAAAAGCTAATTTTTACATTAGCATATTAACACATTTTGAATTTTATACTTTCATTGTTAAACTGAAATATACAGGGTTCAGACTTCTCATAAACCGTTAACTTGTTTCTTTCTTTGTCAAATCAATGAATAGTCAGATTGGAAGAATAACTAAATTATTGAGGCTCCTCTGGGATATCGTAGTTTTCAGATTGGTTGCGTATTTGCTGAATGTGATCTGTTTAAAACTTATATTCTTGTACCAAATCTCATATTATATAAGTTTGGTATAACTTTGACACAGTTTTATATCAAATTCTCGAGACAGGAACATTAGATAGAACTCTCGATAAACCCCTAAAGTGCTCTGGGTTCAGCCTATCTATACCCCCTTTCAGTTTTGTATTAAATGAATCCAGAAGCAAAAATTTCCAAGACTAAATGTGGAACTCCTAAGTTGCATATTTGAAGACTTTTCCCTCTTTAACAATTTTTAATCTTTACGTACGTTGTACATGGAATAATGATTATTCACTGTTCAGTGTTCACTGTACACTGTACACGCATTGGAAATACAGTGATTTAAATAATTTAATTTGACCAAAAAAGGTAATTTGAAATTTTAAAATTGAAATTACAAATTCTAACGCGGCATTGTTAACAATTATGCCGGAAGCTAAAATCTTACTGGGTGATCTTTAAAATTCAAAATAACAGAAATAATTACCAACATTTAGAAAGGAGCACTTAATTCCTTTAAAAAAATATTTTTTTGGTGTGCATCAGCCACCAATGTAATAGCTTATTTAGGTCAAATATTTATTTAGGTCCATATTTATTTAGTTCCATATTCATGCACGTCCATATCTATTTAGTTCCATATCTATGCAGGTCCATATTTATTTAGTTCCATATCCATGAAGGTCCATATTTATGTAGGTCCATATATTTAT